AGATCCCCAACTAAACTCTAGTTGGAGTATCCACGGAGCAGAGAGAATATGTGCATGTGAGCATTGTTTTATTCACTGTTTGTATGTGTTACTGCTCCAAGAGTGTAGAGTAGCAGCTCTGTGAAGGCTTATAATTACCGTAACATCTCCAGTATTCTTAATTCCGTAAACCAACCAATGGAGTGTCACATGGTATGTTAGCATTAAGTTAGCTAACATTTGTGAAACAAAATTATCATTAGATGACATTCAACACAATTTAAAGATTTTGGTTGTTTAAATTCTCTTTTGTTTTCTGTGTCAATTTCACAGTATGGTAGTGAGATTAAAAAAAAAACTCAGCTTGAAGCAAGCACGTGTTGCCTCCTACTGAGAGAACTGTGTCAGCAAAACAGTCGCCTACTTTTCTTTTTCTCAAGTTGCATTATATGTCTTCCATTTCTTAACAGAGCCCAGGCACTTAGGAATACTTTAACAAATGTGTTTTCATAAATGTAAGCGCATTTCAATAAGTTGAAATGTAGGCAGATGGGAGGAGGTGAAAACATGTTTTTTGATGGAGTTTTTTTTATTATAACGAGTATTTTCCTCAACGCAGGTGGGCCTGTAACATGTGCCCCGCAATAAGTGGGACATCACTGAAATAGTACAGATAGAAGTGCATGATAACCACAACAGAAGATCCTTCTGCCTTTTCCACCTAACCCAGCAAGCTGTAAGTCTTTTCACAAAGCCAACACACCATTCAGCAATCAGATAATTAGATCACAATATCAGTGCGAGCGTCTTGTCAGGCAATTGTGCATAAGACAATTGCTTTAAGTGCATCAGGGAGGAAGAACTAAGCGTCAGGTGTTAAACTTAAACCCCCATCTCGGAGCATCGCGTAATACACTTACACACTGGCAGTGTCCCTTCCATGTTAAAGGTGTGATACGATCTCTAAAGGCAGAAAATTGAGTATGGATGGGGGAGACACATGAAAAGGTGCTGGCTTCCACAGGCAGTGTGAATGGGCCTTCAGTTGTTAGCAATGGCATTAATTAGGGTATCTTCTATTTAGATTCAAATTAGGCAAGTTCCTGCTTGAGTGGAAGGCTAGTCACTAAAAATATTCTACTTTGAACTACTGTGTATTGGTTGGTGCTTTTTGTTTTAAGCCATCTCCCTAACAACCGGTGTTGTTGTCAGCATAATTTCTTGATTTTTTTTGTTTGTTTATTTTTATTTGTTATCTTGACTAAAATTATTATAGTTCAACCCGAGTGGAATTCCAATGTTTTGTCATTGTTTCGTAGTTGAAGGTAGACATGGGCTGATTACCGGTTTGTCATTTTACCGTGGTTTTAAAAAGTCGAGGTTTATATACTAGCTGTCACCAGTAATGAGCTCTTCTTTTGCTTTTTGACTTCTAAGAATGGCACAATATGATTGGCTGCTTGCTGAGTTGAGTAAACGAGCCGCCACTTTAAAGTCCATTGCCTCCAATTAACTTTTTTTATTTCTCCTTCTCAGCGAACAGAGTGGGGAGGGGTGAGCAGTTACACATGGCGGAGGAGGAGGGAGAGAGCAAGACGAAAGACACACTTTTTGCTCTATGGATTAATGTGCATTGCAGTAAAAGGAAGTTAGAAGCAAAAATAAACTGGTGCCAGCGGGTACGATTTAGGGCCATGGACAACATGACTCGCCGACGGGTCTGTTCGAAAGACTCGCCAGTAATGGGACACTGTGACTTACTAAGAAAAAAAAATAAAGCATAAGAGGAATGTCAACATTTATTTCTTTAAACTTAACAAGGTAAACATTTCTTCCGGACCAAATATTGTATATTTTGTTTGAGCTAAAATACATTGTGTTCAATGGTGAAAAAAGGCTCTTTCTATTTGCCTTTTGGAACGGTTTAATTTTAATACAGTGATACCGTGATATTGCAATATTTTTGCTCACGGTTATCATACTCTCAGAATTTACGATCGGCCCATGGCTATTTGAAGCATTTACAGTATCCTTACAGCAACCAGGTGTCGACCACAAAACTAGATTTGTACAAGTAGCCTGAGAGATGTTAGCAAGTAAACCTGAGCTGACAAGCTGTAAGAAGCCCTAACATCGAACCAAGCGATGGGCTACGATCCCCCATTAACCTGAAGTCTATTGACAAAAGTCACATGACATGGCTCGTGTGTCACATTCCACTTCATCGGGGCTAAATCCCTTCTCACCTTTGTGCTCGAGTGACCGTCACATTAGTAAACTAGTATCCCCACAGCACAAACAACATGTAAACTTAGAATCAATGTCTAATCCTTCACTTAACTGATCTAATTAGCCTTGCTGGTGTTGAACAGCTCCCGTGGTTCTGCCTACCGATATTAAGCCAGATAAATATAAAGGGCTTTTCTTTTGGGGAACACATTTGGAATAATGGAGCAAAACAGTGAGGGTGAACGAGCTTTTCAGCTTGTCACTCTGTCGCCAGGGGAGCAGGCAGGAGAACAAGCCTGCAGTCACAACAGACCTGCAATAAAGTTGGGTCATTTAGGCACATTCGCATTCAATCGAATCAATCAAACTTTATTTATAGGCACTTTTCGTACAACAAAGGAGCTCAAAGTGCTTTACATAAAAACAATAAAGTGAATAACAAGCACAAAGATATACGCCTCAGCTCCCACACACACTTCGAAGTTTCGTGCGTGTCCTTGTGTGTGCGTGTCTGTGTGGCACAACAACCCCCCTCCCCCTGTTACCACCATGTCCTTCAAGTGAGCATTTCTCAGGTATGTGCAAATTTTATGAGCTTCCAGATAGACCCTCAAGCAGGCCTAAGTGTCTTTTTAAAACAAACTAGCCATGCTTACAAGCCGCTTTTACATTTACTATTAACTTAATATGCTTCCAAAGTCAGGAGGGATAGGCAACAGCTCAGCCGTGACCGGAATGGTCAAATGCAATAGCAAATGGACAAAAGGAACTCTGGCAACACATTTTCACAAAGAGACAGAAAATTCATGGAAATATGGAAAACAATTTATTCGATATCCTGACATCCATCTTGATTGAACTGAACATTGGCACTTATAAAAAATATTTGTATGTAAAAATTATGTCAGACCAAGCTAGCATGTGTGCCGTTTATTTTTTTGGCATCAATACGACAATACAGTAGCTGTGTTTTGGTTGTTAACAAACGTGAGTTCATTGACTAATGCCTCGTAATCCATAGCATATGCTAAAATATGTTAGCATAAGAACCACCATGACCTGTTGCTGCAACGTTACATCAAACACACACCGTAAACTGTGTGGTCTGACTCAGGTTAGCTTCCAGGCGGCAATGTCCCAATACTGGAAAAGGAATCAGGCATCAGCCAAAATGTGCTTTTGTTTTGTTTCGCATGAAGTGTTTTGGTTGAAACGCACCTTCATTTTCAGAATCTGTTTCTAACACGATTTAGCCATGACATTGCCACAATGTTTCTGTTTACATCACAGATTACACGAATTACCACTACTACACATGTGCATCGCAGACCGGCAGAGTGCCAGCAAGAGCAGATAACAAAAAAACAAACTGCAAAAATGATGATGAAATCACTATTAAATTAGCCGTTGACGGATTTGGTCATCGAGGAAATCCTGACTAGTTGACTAATCTTGGAAGGCTCCGTCAGTATTTCAGGCCGACCAACGTAGGCCCAGTCGATCCCTCGTCGCCGACAGCCAATCGGCAACGTCAACGTTGTTTGCACATCACACAGTTTGAAAAAGCAGACACACAGCCAAATCAAGAAAAATAAAATAAAAACGGATGTCAAGGATATTGAATAAATGCTCAAACAACTTTCCATCATGCAAAATTAGTCGCATAATCACCACAAAAGTGTTACTTAATTTCACTGACCAACAAATCTATTCTAAATATCAAATGTGTAAAATGTGACTGCAAAATTTCTGTCTTTTTGGTGGGAGGAGGAGGAGGAAAGAGAGAGAGAGAGAGAGAGAGAGAGAGAGAGAGAGAGACATGTCCCACAACTCTGCCTGGACATTCTCCCTCCTCCCCCCCTGAAAGTAGAAGCACAGCATTGAGGGAGAATGCATTCCAAAAGAACAATTCCTCCAACGATCAGGGTGCAATAACATGAAAGCCCGGGCCAGTAAAGAAGGGTCATCTGTTCCTTAGCTTTGGGAGGTGGTATCCTGGACAGCGCTGCTCTTTCATTAACACACCAATGGACACGTCCTCTTTCAAACAGTATCTTTCTTTCCTCCTCCACAGCTAGCCTGAATGCAACACTTTGCTGAAAAAATAACTTCTTAAAGCTTTTGTGCAAATAAATGAGGGCTCAATAATTAATTGAATTCAAATCGAAATGGCAATGTAGTAAAATGCAATTTTGAAATCTCAAAGGCTGCAATTAAAAAAAAAAAAAAAAGAAGCTTCATTTCCATTGGTTAGTATGCTGACAGATAGCAAGTTTATTTATTTATAATAATAATAACAATAATACATTTTATTTATAAGCGCCTTTCAAAACACTGAAGGACACTTTGCAATCAAGCCTATCCCGGTTGTCTTCGGGCAGTAGCTGGGGGACACCCTGTACTGGTTACCAGCCAATCACAGGGCACACTTAGACAAACAACCATTCGCGCTCACAGTCACACATAGGGACAATTTAGAGTGTTCTATTAACCTGCCATACATGTTTTGGGAATGTGGGAGGAAACCGGAGTACCCTGAGAAAACCCACGCAGGCACGGGGAGAAAATGCACACTCCACACAGGAAGGCCGGAGCTGGAATCGAACCCTACACCTCTGCATTGTGAGGCGGATGTGCTAACCAGTTCTTCACCATGCTGCCCTTTTTCCAAATCATTCAGCCCTAAAATAAATCATCATCTATGCATACTTTAGGAGAAACAATGAAAGCAAATTGCTCCTCAACCAGCCAGAACACAAAGCAGGGAACACAATTCCAATATCCATACTCACTTGCGATTGTCAGCCGGGCCCTCTGGCTGAGGATGGCTCCGTACTTGTTCTGGGCAAGGCACTGATAGAAGCCTTCATCTGATTTGTCTCCTCGTCTGCTTTCCACTTCGGAAATGTAAAGCGAGCTGTTCGAGAGCAGGTAGACCCGCTCGTTCTCCACCACTTTTACTCCATTTCTCAGCCATCGGACGTCAATGGGCGTCTCTCCGTGTGCCTGACAGTCCAGAATGACAGCTTCTTTGCGCATGACCGTCACATCGTGGGGCTCCTTCGTGAAAAATAACTCGCTGAAGCAAAAAATACCTGAAAAATAGAGGAAATCAGTCAGAGAAAATTCTCAGGGCATTAAACATCGAACACATGCTCTATAGTTTAGAGTTGCACAACTTGAATGTCATATCACGTTGTGCCACAACATGCTGGGTAGCACTGAGCTCTACTGGAAGAATTGCAGCGTGAAGAGCAAGAGCAAGAAGAAGAAGATGAAGAAGAGGAAGAGAAGGTCCCCTACTAAGCAACAGTGGTTGTTTCTACAGAGCAGAGAGAAGATATGCTTGTGAGTTTTGTTGTGTGCTTTATTGTTTGTAAGTGTTCCTGCTCTGTGTGTTAAAGTATCAGTTGTATGAATGCTCATAATTACCATAACATCTAAGCTCATTTCCTTTAGCCCGTCTATGGTGGCATTAAAATGGGAGACAACATTTTATAGTTTGGTGTTTAAAATTGGGCCGACCGATGGCCGATGCCGAGTACAATAACCGATTAATCAAGCGATTAATTTAAAAAAATGTGTAAAATATTTTTTGTTGGTCCTTTAAGGCTTACAACAATAGGGACATGACTTGCAGGCAGAACATTTGACTGTTTTACAATGCTTTACAAAATCGACAAAAACTGGACGATTTTTGTTGTTTTTTGGTGTGTGTGTGTGTGTGTGTGTGTGTGTGTGTGTGTGTGTAGGGGGGGTTGAATATCATCTTTTGTCTTATGTTGAAAAGTGTTTATGTGCGAAAAAAAATGGCCAATTTAATTTGACCTGACAAATAATCATCACAGCCCTAGTTTAAATAAACAATGTTTACTTTACTTTGTTTAGTTTTATGGGTCAGTTTTACAGTAAACTTCAACTGAGAGTGACAATGAAAGCTTGAAACAAGCACACTTTGCATCTTATTTGAAGAACTGTCTCACCAAGTATTCTCTTCAATTCCTCCAAGTGATATTATATGATAGTCGTCCACTTTACAACAGTGTGTTTAATAACTTTAAATGTGTTTAAAGCATGTGTGTAGTGCAAACTTTAATGAAACTTGACTGCAAAGGACCACTCATCAATGTTATTCATAATAACCAAGTGCCTGTGCAACGCTCTTTCTTTAATGCAACACATTATGAATACATTTAAATTAAGAGCAATTTCATATTTCATATTATTTTAATATTATTTCAACGTTTGTTTACTGTGCAAAGAGTTTCTTTTTTTTTCAATGACAACATATTTTTTAGACTGACACTGTCGTTTCGGGTCCTTTCTACTAAAAGATCATATAAAAAGCATATTATCAATAACCAGACTTCCTTAAAAAGATTCAAATGCCACGCTCAATTTCAACACACAGTGGATGCTGAGGTCGCCAGTCGTCCCTCGAACTACCAACACTCCTGTGTGCTGTTAAGTCTGCTCATGTGCTGACTGACTTCGAAACAGCTAAAAAAAAAAAGTTGAAAGAAACAGAGCCCCAAACGTACCTGAGATTGGAAGAAAAGCGGCAAAGAACAGCAAACGCTGATATATTTTCCTTTTGACAAGAGCCATTTACGTGAATTGTCCTTGCATGCTAGCTAGCGTGTCACAGCGACTTGTTCCGAATGAACCGCGGTGCAACTGACTAACTGAGTAGCCGGCCGCCTGGGACTGCGGAGTGGAGCTTGTGGGGGAGATAGTGGCCCACTAAAAGCACCCCCTCCTCAGGACTCATCTTCATCACTCACCGGTCCCCACTAGCTGAACGTTTCCAGGTTATGGCGGCATCTAGCGGTACAGCTTTACATTGTACGTTTCTTCTCACTACAGCACTAGTGCCACTTTTCGTCCACTAGTGTAACCTTAAGATGGACACCAAATAAATGATCAAATGGATTTGATATCATCGATACTAGTATGCGCTTTGTCCGCCTTTGGCAAGTATGATACTGGTAAGGCAAAAATGTGCACTACTGAACTGTGTGCTACAAGTTAACCTCAAACGCTTGCATGTAATTTCCAACTAGTGTACTGAAGTTTCGCGGGGGATACAGACCCACGGATAGCAAAAGCCACGAATAATTCAAGTGTTCAAAAGAGATGTATAATTTAAACAATAATTATACCACCAACCATGCTCTCAAAACACAGGATGATAGACATACTGCAGACACTGTATTGCTGCGAGAAAAAAAAATACAATTTGCAAAAGTAAGAAATAAAATGCGAATAGGTGGGTTTTCACAAATAATGGCAACTAGATTCCTCAATAAATATCTGAGAATAGATCATTTACAAATGATAAACCACAAAAATATATGTTTACAATTTAAACACATCGAAAGTTGTTGAAAGACACTCATTTTTTTTTTGCTCTATGTAATGTTTATCAGTGATTTACTACAATAAATACAGACCTTCAGGAGCTCCGTAGATAAGTATAAAAAAAGTTCAAAAAAATCCATAAATAGAAACTAGTCATAATTCACAAATTTTAGGAAATAAAACCAATGCAATAGATATAAATGTGTGCATTCACTGTGTGACCAGTGATTGTTGACACGTTTTGAAATAGAGACTTCAGCACTGCAAAGAGCTGACTGCTACACTTTTATCCAAACCTTTCACTTTCCTTTATCAATGTGAACAAAGCTGACGTGATAAGAGCAGACCCCTCAATATCAGCGGCGAACTGCATGCCAAATGTTTGTCCATTGACCGGAAAAAAAACATCATGGAAATGAGCTTGTCCTTTCAAAGTGGGCCCCTTCAATTACATGAAAGCATTGATAGCAGGACAGCTGCCTAGTCAATGTCGATATTGATCCTATTTCCATTACTTAGTCTCACGACGAATGGAACTCTCTTCCACGCCTTTCCTTTGTGAACCTTTTTATTCAGCAACCCAGCTGTGAAATACGTATTCTCAGTCACCACACACAAAAAATGCATAACTCACTATTGTGTTTAAAACAAACATAACACAAAAAGCAAAAATGGTGGTGTGCTGATATGATATAATATCGGTTTCCTGTACATAAGTGACACATTTGATCTTATTTGACAACTGTACTTGAGACTCAGGTGACATTCACTTGGAGCCAACAATACAGTACCATGTGAGATGCAAATACCGTTAAACATAATACGATTGTTGATCCCAATCATGCAGTACAGCAGTGACAATAACAGCATGTAAGCTCCGCATTACACAAATGCATAAGTGGCTTAGGCCTTGCAGTAGGCTGCTGACCTCTTGCTTACATAATGTGGGAAAGTGACTTATTAGTGATCAGCCAGACTCCCTCGGATTGTCTATTTAATCACCAACGGTGGCAAAAGTACTCACACTTGAGTTAAAAATAAAAGACTGTTTGATTAAACTCCTGCATTTGAGTAAAAGTGAGGAAAAAAAGTACAGTTAGATCAAAGTTTTTTGACCTACTTACGGAGCTGTTTGTGTTGAGAAGATTTTTTTTTTTTAAAGAGAATGATGAGAGCTAGCTAGCACTGGCACGGCTATTATTCCATTAAACTGACATACATATATATATATATATATATATATATATATATATATGCGTCTTTATTGTACAGCCATTGAATTGAATCACAATGTGGCAACAGCAATGAAATATTTGTACTCTGTTCCTTCCCACAGCCGTCAAATATAGCACAGCTTGTAGGCCCATGAGAGCCAGATCAATGAAGTAAAAGTTATAAATGCTGGCCAGAGGGTGAGGAGGAGGAAGGAGAAGGGGGAGGCCTGGAGGTCGCCTGACAGCACGGCCGCCGCCCGCCCATCCCCGCTGACCTCAGCGATGTCCGAAAGGTTGGCCTGAATCGTGTGTGACCTGTCCCCTGACCCCCTTGAAGGGGATGGTGGGTTGCTTTAGTGCACATCAAGGGGGTTGGGAGGGTGGATGGGGGGCTGCAGAAAATATGGCTCAAGGACACAAAAGGTTCCCACCATGAAGATGTGGAAGAGTCCACACCACAGAGCACGTGCTTGTGAACAGTAAACGTGATGAGGGATGAAAGATGACAACAAGTGCTCTGAAAATAAAGTTAAGTCGTGAGGCAAAACTAGATGGCATTTTAGTGCTACTTAATAGGATCGAGGAGGCTACTCGTGTGTGACATATACCTACGAGCTAGGCAGTAGTTTACTAGTAAGGTTGACTTAAAGCCCACACTAAGTGGCACCAGTAGTGTATAAAAACTTAAGACCGTCCCTTACCAGCATTTTTTTCCACTACAGCCTTTCACTAAGAATTGGTAGTGGAAAAAACTACAGTCCTAGTAGCACACAGCCATTCTTCAAGCACACTTTAATCCTACTTGTGTGCTGATTTGTCTCCTAGTGAGGACAAAGAGCATACTCGGATGGACCTTAAGATGAATATCAAGATTATTGAATAAATGCTCAAATGGGTTTCCATACATGATAATCTTGACATTTTTGGTACTGTTCAACTTTGATTTCATTACCTCTTAAGGTGAACATGAGATATTATGTGACACTGGCTGACTGTTTTAATTTTAATATAAAGTTCATTCATTCTATCTTGGCTGGAACTGAGAAAGTTAGAAAAAAAACATTAAAACACCAATTTGAGGCAGAGCTGTTTTCACATTTCTTTATTAGTCAAATATATCTGTATTTGTTTGTGGTATCAGCAATTTAAAATTTTCAAAACTACATTTCATTCCATGCTTTAAAGTGTTTTAATATACATTATGTAGCATGAACGTTTGCTATAATGTAAGTAAATGTTATTCCATGTGTTATCTCATAGACAAAATGCACATTTAACAGTCCTTGCTTTTCAGCATTAGAACATAATGGATATCTATGACAAAAAGATGTGATATATATATATAATTTTGAATACGAGACAGAAAGAAGAGAATGTGCTTAACTTCAGCAATGTTCACATGTAAACATTTCAACAGGTGCACTCAAAGCAGAGGATCATTTTCAGAAGTGTGCAGGTGGCAGTTCAGAAGTAAGACTCGTTGATACGAACAAAGTGCGTAACTTTATAAAAGCGTCATATGGCCTTGTTGTCCGTGACGAGAACAATAAAATATTGATGAAAAACTTACGACGAATACCACGGTATGACAAATCCATCTTGAATAAACAATATGACATGAACAGTACATTGTTCGTCAATGCACATAAACTTTGCTTTAAGTTGAGCGCTGCATTTCGAGTCCTGATAAATGATTCAGTCACATGTTTTTGCATGCTACCGTGCAGCAAAAAAATAAAATAAAATAAAATAAAAATCATTCATCTTACTCCCGTACAGTAGACAGAATTGTATAAGATATGACAATAAACAGAAAGCAAGATTAAAAAAAAAAAGGTTGAGTTTTGTAGCTGTGCACCAATGACTGTTTTCTTTTTTTTTAGCTCGAGTGACTTGTGCAGCCATAGTAAAAGCTTCATCATTTTGTAGGAGGCAACAGTTTTGCATGTAATAACAGAGGCATATGATGCATAGGATTGTAACATGCTCAAACCTCTTTGCATCTGTACACAGACACGGATGTGGACGAGAATCTGTCGAGCATTGAACTGGTCCTGGCATTGGTACATTTTCAACCCATATACTATACTTATATGTAGTTGGCTTACTTGCACATAACCCACAGATTTTTTTGTATTTAAGGCGCATACACTTCCCACCTCAGAGTGTCTAATATACTGGAATGAATAATGTAAAAGCATGTATACAAGTTAATCGAAACAATCCGTTTTTTTTTTTTTAAGTTGTTAGCCATTTAGGAGATTATTTTTTAAGGCAAAAAGACTTCAATGTCGGAGTAGATTTTAATTAAAGAATACAGTGGTGCCTTGAGATATGAGCCGTCGTTTGGATGATTTTTTTTTTGTTTTGTGAAGCTGGCAACCACATCTTGGCAGAGAAGTGAACAATTCTATCAAAAAGGGGCATCAAGCTGTTTGTAGACATTCCCAGCTGAAGTTTATTTTCAAACCAAAGAAAAATTGCGTATTGAAAGCGACCACACAACTTAGCCTTTAGGTCCGCTAGCTTAATGCTAACACATGGGAAATGCCTCAGATGGGCTAACGAATAGCTTCACCTTTGTATGTGGTGGTGCGAGAATGCTTCAAACAATGAACATTTAAATATTGATGGTGGAACAACACATGTAAATAGATATAACAATATTCATTGGTATAGTCTGTATCCTTTGTGAAAAAAAAAAACAAGTATTAATATGGCTTAATTGAACTTTCTTCATGTCTATCTGAATGCCTGTATTATTACTGCCCCCAGGTGGCCAAAGCATGCAGACCAGAAGGGGCATCAAAATACAGTAGTCATAGAATTTAGCAGTGTGACAAAAACAGTTTACTTTTTTATATTCTATTGAATGATACCATTACTTTGCATTTTTATGAAGTACAATATTACAGAGTGCCATTTTTCTCTCATTAAAAACACATTTCAAAATGTTTTTGGGGGTTATTTTGGTTGGGAAAATATGATGGATTAATGGCATGCCCATTCATTTCAATGTGGAAAGATGATTTGAAATGTCAGCATTTTGAGTTACAAGGATGGTCACTGAACAATTTGAACTTTAATCTCAAGGCATCACTGTGGACGACTTCACCGTCATGTCTTTCTTTGGTTTTAAATAA